ACTTCCTATTACCTTTGTTGCATTGTTAAAGTCATATTCACATAAATAGTGTTGTGAAAGTTTGACATTCTTTTCCTTTCTGTGATTTGGCCAGAAGCCCAGTGTATTCCAATACTTGCAGATTTGCCTTCCAGGAGGATGTCGTCAGTCATTCTGCAACTTCCTTATTGTGGGAAATAGTCGCTTTTAAAATGGATGACCTATCATAAAATCCTAAAATCAATACCAAATTTGCTTGAAAGAGTAGACCAAAAACATATTTTATTTATCATCTATCAGTAGTATACATGTGTGTGTGAGAGAAGAATAAAGGCAGTAAAATTGAAATTCTTAGATCTGATTCTCATTCCAAACAATAGTGGAAGGTTTTAAGACTCCAATATCTTTATCCCGATTCTTCTAGGAATGGTAGGGACAGTCCTATGATCTTAAAAAAAATGTATAATCTTCTCAAAACTTTATGAGCAATCTGATCAAAAATTTATGAGGCTGTATCTTGAAATCAGTTGGTTTTACTGTTTTTACCTACTTTGAATGGACATGGTTTTCTGCCATAAAGAAAATGGCAAAAATTTCCTTCAGTCTTGTAACATTTCCTTTGAATCTTTCCTCTTAAAAAGTAGAGCAAGTTATTCATGATTTTGGACGGTAACTTCACAACATCGAGTTCAAACCCAACCTAAATTACTTGCATGTTGTGAATTGGAAATGCATTTTTATAAAATTTCCCCCTCCTTATCCTGGTAAAAGGTAGCACCTGTTCAGCTCTGCACAAGACTTTTCTCCAAACGTATTCAAGGGTCTAGAAAGAAGAGAGTCATTATAACAGATCTGTCTCAAGAAGTTATGATTAAAATACAGTGATTGAGGAATAGAGGTATCAACTGACTTGTTAATACCTTAGACGAGAAAATTCATTAAATATTCAATATGACAAAAAGAAAAAAAAGTGCTCAGATCAGTTTAAGATGTGGAGAAGAGAGAATTCCAAAGAAGCTACAACTGATTGAGACAGTGGTACCTGTAGTGGAAGGAGAATTGTAGGGTGATTACTACACCAGTTGTCTGTCCATTCAGTAACTGCAGTTTGTTGAGACACTTTAAAATTGTGGCACAAATTAAGACTTCTTTGCAGAAATTGAAAAGGGTGAGAGGTTTCACGTAAATTATTAAAACTCTGAGAGTCACTGTTCCTTTTGTTTAAAAAAGTCAATATGTGAAATTTCTTAGTTAATTTTAATACTATCACAAGAATTTTTTTTAAGACATTTTCTAATCATCTTGAATAAAAATTTTAAAATTATTGTAAGCAAAGCTTGATTTGGAAAGAAGTATAATATAAACTGAAACAAGTTCTTAGTGTACCAAGCCTAGTTGTTCCTTTTTTGCTTCTTCACTATTATTTTTTCCTTGTGCAAATTTTCTGGTATCAACTTAGCATGTTGCTAAATTTGTTAATACTGTCTTGCCTTTTTTTTTTTTTTTTGTGTGTGTGTGTGTGTACCAGGGGTTGGCAAATTTTAAAGAAATAGCATTAGGAAAATACACTAAAAGTAAAAAATGTAAGAATATCAGAGAGTAAGGAAATATACATCATGATTTGAAAGAAAAAAAAAAACCAACCCTGAATTTCAAGTAATATCTGTACCATGTTTTGGTTTGTTATTTAGAAGTTTTAGCCTTTTACTCTCATCCCAGTTTTATTCATCTCCTCTCCTCCTCTGCATGGACAGTTTCATAACAGGATTCCGTCTGAACCTTCTGTCAGGGAACATGTACTGATGCTTTGTGGATGCAGTGATGCTTTTCAAGCAACGATAGAATAGAGGAGGAGGAGGAGAAATTGGGCGGGGGGAGGCGGGTGGCAATTATCAGTATCCTAATCATTTAGTACATTTTTGCTGTCTTCAATGGAAGTTTGCGTAATATTTTATATAATATAAATATAAAATATTTAGAACACAGCCATAGTGAATAGTAGTTGAACTGAATGTCTCAAGTTATAATTTTTAATTATTATGTATGATTTTTTTTTTATTTCTTTCAATGTAAATAAAGTTAAAAATGAAATTTGATATCTTCATTCTGGTTTTAGTACAAAGAAGTGATAACTGTCATCATTCTTGAACACTGTCTGTGTTAGTCTCTAAATGTGCCTCTATCCCTGAGCCTTCTATACCCTCCCTTGTTCTGAGAGGTGCACTACGGGCAGTAATATTCATCCCTGCTGCCCTATCAAGCAGAAGCCCCAAGGGAAGAAAGGTCAATGCATCCTTCCTGTATAGGATAAATTACCTGGTACAATTCTTCTGTGACTTCAGCATGTGATTGGCATCAGCATTTTGGAGGCACAGGAAAGTCTCCCAGCTCTTGTTTTAAGGCCCAGAAGATTCAGGATATGAACTACACCAAAACCACCTGAGATCTAGTGTAGTCATTCAAGCAGTTAGCTGCTAATATCCAAACGTCTATGCTATGATTCTATTCACCTACAGCATAAATTTTCCAGCCACCGCCACTGTGTCTGTTACATTTGGTGTTTATCTTGCTGCTTCTTGCATCTTGAGGGCAAGAAAGGTTTCCTGTGGAATCTAAGCTAATGTAAACAAAATCACTGCACGTTCTTTGAGTGTATAACTCCACATCTTAATCCAGTTCATAAAGTGCGTGCAGTGATCTGAATGGCCATTGCAAAGGCAACTGTAATGCTGGCATTTATAAGTATTTCAGTTTATTGTTTGAGTCTTTTAAAAAGAAACTGAAAAAAAGAAAACCAGGTGCCTCCTCACAAGTAGAGTTCACCTCTCAGGATCATGAATCTGTTATATTAAATTATGCCTGAAACTGAGAGGAAATTATAGTACTAATAATTATTCCCTTATTGGTGGATTAATGGAGGGTTGGGAGTTTGTAATGAAGTTTGTAGTAGTGAGTTTGTAGTGAAGCAATGCATGAACCATGAATCCTGATTTCTTTCTGGTTCTGCATCATGATGTTTTCCACTTTTGGTAGATAGTTGGGCAGGTTTCACACATTTTTATTGTGAATAATTACTTTGGATAAATTGATGAGATATTCCACCTATGGAGACATAAGAAGAGATTTGTTTGCTTCCACATAGTTATCTAATGGCTTTTTAGGTACCTTAAGATATGTCACCTAAAATCCAGTTAGCCATTTTGGATGTCCTGCAGTATCTGAGACATTTGCAATGAGCAGAAAGATCTGACAAAAGAATTTGAAGAATCTCTTGGTCTTTTGCAGACATAGGTGTCTCTCTTTAAAATTTTAATTAGCATGCTTTCTTCTTAGGAAGCCTTGTTTGGTTTGGGGTGGGGTTTTTTTGTGCCTTCTCTCTTTTCAGCACTTCTTTCCTGAATTATAGTCACACCAATTCTGCATTCCTGACTGCAGTCTCATAGCAGCTGCGGTGCAGAAAAGCATCTCAAAAGGAAATGCTAATAAGAGTTTTTATAGTGTTCAATAAAAGGCTCTGATTAAAAAAAAAAAAAAATTAATGCTACACCTCAAACACTATCTCTAACCCAGATTGCTGTTTCTTAAAATGACACTATGTGCCTATGTTTAGGCAACTGAATCCTTCTTAGTTTCTCAGAGTGACTTTGTACTATACCAAGGTGATTTATTTGCTACCAAAAATTAGATCATTAGGCTTGCTTCACTTACGAGATTTGGAAAAGAACACAGTCAACGGCACTGAAGAAAGGACCTGTTACAATGGTTTTCTAGCCCACAAGCTAGAAGCTTGAGTGCTGATACTCTGTCTTCTTGAATCAGGACTTACCTGCTCAGTAATAGGCTAGGAGTATGCTCATTGTTTGGGTATTTTAGTAGCTTGCCTCTTATAAAACCAATCATGAGTACAAGATTATTGTTTTGGGGCTTTTTAAGATGCGTGACTTGGTCAAATCTATGAATTTCATAAGCTCAGTAAGAAGCCCCTTGCTGATTAGTTACTAGTTTTCACAACTATTCTTTGAGAAAATTTGCTTAGCTGTGCAAAGCTATCTTTTTTGCCCATATCAGGAAACAGGCATTGGGGATTTCTGCCTGATTTTTTAGTCCTGGAAAAAAGGAAATGTAAAGCAGAATAGTTCTGTAACCGTAACTCTCTCTACCTATTTGTCTTCATAACATGAATTATCTGACTAGAAAATTTCTCTGAACTGTAATCTGGCTGATGTATTTTGATTTTTTTTTCCTGTATGTAACTGTTTATTACTCTTAAAGAAAAGCTGTAACGAATTATCCCAAAAGAAAGTAATCTTTACTTGCTAGAGAGATACCTTTTTTTCATCTCAAGTATCAGAAGTCTGTTGGTGTGATAGAGGCAGTGGGTTGTATGGCAAAAAGTTGTTTGTAATGCATTGAGAATTTTCTCTTTAACTTAGTAGTATATGAAGCAAAACTTGTTATCTTTTAATATCTATCAAGTGGTTTAAATCAGTTTCAAGAGTTTATCTTGGAAATCCATGTTAATAGTAAAAGAATTTTAAAAACTCAGTTTGTTATTAGCAACTTGTTTTGTTTTCACTTACAATGGGGAAAAAACAAAAATTGAACTCAAAGAGGGATGGACGGTACACAGATTATTGCCTGCCCTATACGATAAAATGTACAAGGTGTAACAGTGAAGCAAAGTGAAGAAACTACTGCTGCTGTACTTTGCTGCACTCAGTATGTTCATTGGGCAACTGTATGAATTGGAGAAACAAGATGTGTTTTCATGTTGTCTAGACAAGGAAACTAAAGCTTGCTTAAGGATGAAACTGAAAGCACGACCGCCTAAAATTTATTTGAAAATCAGACTAAATTACGGTTTTTAAATGATCAGGTCAATCTTCTTGGGGGGTGGGGGTGGGGAAGCATTAAATTAAGCTCAGCCTAAATTCCAGCTCCTTAGGAAATCATCAGGGTCAGCTTCAGAAATGTGGTTTAAAATCCTTGGGTTTTGATCATGTTATATTTTATCTTCTTAGGAATGGCAAAATTCTATTCAGAAGAATGCAGGACTTGCATTTATTGAGCTCATCAATGAAGGAAGGTAATTAATTTTAAAGCTTTTGAATAAGTAGTCATTTTGCATTTATTCCACTGGGTGATAATACTTCCTCACCATCTGTTCCAAAAAGATTGTGAAAAGGCCATTTTATTTAAGAGATTTATTGTATAGATACTTTATATAGTAAAACATTTGATTTGAAAATGTGTAAATTCTGAAAATTTTGTTTATTGACAGAAGGAAATAGAGCTCCCATGAACAGTATATCAGTTTGGGTTTATCTGAGAATTGCAACACCATTTTCCAGAGCAGCAAGGTTGTTTTACTCAGACAGTCCAGGGAGCCCAATCTGTAAACCCATCTGCTGCTCCATCTGTTTTAGGAGCACAGCATTCACTGTGCAGATGCCCTTCTCTATACTACCAGTTCACGAGGAATTATTTAATCTAGAATTTGTCGTCCAATTTGAGTCCTGTAAAATACACAGGGCATTATGTTTGTAAGAGCTGCCTTGCTTTTTCAAATTGTTAAGATACTTTATTATCAATACTCAAGTAATTTTAATGCTATATCTGTTTATATCTTCTACTCTGTGCAATGTTTGTCAGTACTTCCAGCCAAGAAGCTGGGCAGCAAAGGGGGACTCTTTGGCCTTCCGGGTAGTGGAATGCCAAAGACAAATGGAGCCACTTGTGTAATGTGTGTGACTTGTATTGGCCACTGCATTAAATCCGTTTGAATATAAATGTCCAGATATGTGTAGTTGGGGAAAAAAAAAAACAAAAAACGACAGTATGCCTGTTGCAGAGATTTTGTCATTTTATGTGTGGTTTCTTTTTTTCACCAATAGTATGTCATTACCAATAGTAAAGTATCAAATCTTGTCTTTATTATAGGATATTTTTTGTCTAGCTGATATTTCAGTGGTTGAATCATGCATGCATTTAAAAGGAAGACTAGAACACATCAGAGAGAGGAATATAGGAACACTGGTATCTGGAAAACAGGAGAATGTAGCTTATACCCAATTGTTGGTTGGTGTAAATTCTCTGAACACACACGAAGCTACAGTGCCATATAGAGGTTGGAAATGTAGTGCTTTCGTTGGAAATTCTTCTTGCTGTGCAGCAGCAATACAAGTTTGCACCATAATAGGGCTCACCTGAGTGGGTCATGTACTGCACATTATAAAATAAATATTATATGGTAATAGACTTAATAATTATAGTAAGCTTATATTCTTACGTAGGAATACAGAATCCCATTTTGACCCTTTTTATTTTCTCAGCCAGGCAAGTGCATATTATTGCATGCTCGCTATTGATAAAATGCTCATTCTGAACAAATCCTACATCCACATATTTTTAGCTGTCAGTCGACTGCTATTTCCCTCTAACAGTAACTTTTCAAAATGAAGCAGTATTTAAGAACTGCTGCATAAATCCAATCCCAGGACTGTCTAATCAAACTGCTCTTACACACATGTTCCTCCATATACTTTTGTCAAAAAGGTGTTTTAGAACAAGTGTGTGTGCATTACTTGAACAGTCATCTTTGCAATCAGCCCATCCGTTTTTAATTTACCCTTTTGGGTATAAAGATAACAATCCTTTAACTGGAAATTGTTATAAATATTTATTCTGCTTAATAGCTAAAGTTGTGAATGCAATTCATCAATCATAGCTAGAGAATGCAATTGTGCAGTTGTCAACAATTAACAGGACATAAACAGTTGATGAATGTGCAGCTGAATTAAAGTGCTCCCTAGGATAACCTGAAATTATAAACTGGATCATTTAAAGGAATCTAACAAAAGATCTTTATAATTAAAACAAAGCAGGGTTAATGGGATGTAAAATTGCATATAATCGCTGTGCAATAAAGATTGAATTTTAAATTATTAAAAGCAAAATGAAGACTAAGAATATTTTGAAGGACTTTCTGGGTAAGGTTTCAAGAGACCTGGGTAATAAATCAACAGTTTTGAGAAAGGTTTTTCTTTTGAGCATGGAGGAAAAGGTTTAGATGTAATGCAGAGGATCGCAGTTTTTAATATCTTCAGTTAGATGTCTGTCTCTTTTAATATATGGATGCTATAAGGTGATTTTCTGAGTACCAAACTTTTGTTGTTTCTGCTTGAAATAATTCGAGTGCCTTTCTGATCTTTGACTTTATTAGAAATGTTCTGAAAGAAAACATGTCATTTTAGTTGTAGTTAAAAATATAACATCTATATTCCTGTCACTTTAATAAATTGCATTTTCTTTTTAAATCAGTTGATTTACTGTGTTTGTTTCTGTTTTTTCTTGTTGTAGATAATGTTTTGTTGGGAAGGTCTGAATAACACATATTTGTAGAATTCAGCATACAATCACTCTGACACAGCTTTCTAAAAATAGGAACTGTTATAACAGTTTTTAGTGTAACAAGAGTATCTGGCGATAGATTTAAATTAATACTTTCCAGAAAAACATATGCAAAGATATTTAATTTGGAAGTGTAGAATAACACTGTCTATAATATACATGAAAGATTTAGAGACATCCTGGTTATGATCTTGAACTTTACGCTTCTTTTTAATCAGTCTCATGCTATGAATATGTGATGTTGAGGTTATCACACATGTCAAGAGCTTCACTGATAGCAACTTAATTAGGATTTCAGATTTACATTAGGGTATACACATAAGTAGGCTTCTTAAATTAAGAGCTGGATGCATCTGCAATGGTGGCTGTAAAAGAGTTCTTTAGGAATGATGTGGGAGGGAGATTACAACCTACGTTCAAGTGGGGTGGTGATGGATGAGGTCAAAAGAAAAGGGTGCAGGGTGACAAGAACAAGAGGTAAGACAGGAGCTCCTGCCTCATGTAAATACATACACAAATGCATACAGCTTGGGAAACTGGCAGTAGGAATTACTTCACAAGGAATCACAAAACTGTGGCATCACTGGAATGAATAAGATTTGGTGGGACAGCCCGCATTGCATGACAGAAGTGCTGTGATGGACAGATACAAGTTCCTGGGGAAAGACAGGCAGAGAAAGCAAGGAGGGAGTGTTGCCTTCTTATGAAGGAGCAGCTCAGATGTATGGAGCTCTTCAATGGGATCGATGACACTGTGGTTGGTAACTTGCAGGACAGGATGAGAAGAGAGTCCAGTAAAGGTGATGTCATGGTGAGATTTTGTTACAGAACACCCATTCGGGGTGAGGGAATGGAAGAAGCATTCTTGAAATGATTTGAGGAAGTATCTGATCACAAACCCTACTTCTCATGGGGATCTTTAACCTTCTTGGCATCCTCTAGAAGTGCAACAAGGTGTGATGCATGCAGTCAAGAAGATTTCTGGAGGGTCCTGGGGGTGACTTCTTGATACAGGATGAACCCACTAAGAGTGACACACAGCTGGATCTGCTGTTCACTAGCAAGCAAGAATTGGTTTTGGATGTGTTAATCACTGGCATCTTTGGCTGTAGTTACCATGAAATAGTGAGGTTCAAAATCCTGAGGGAAGTGAGGATGGAGAGTAGCAGAGTACAGACTTCATGAGTGCAGATTTTTGCTTATTCAGGAAATGGATAGGTAGGAGCCCGTGGGAGATAGATGTGGAGGTCAGGGGAGTTCTGGAGAGGTGACAGGCCTTGTCCAGCATTGTCCAAGTGCAAGAATAGGAAAAAAAGTAGATTTATCAAGAGACTGGTTTGGCTAACCAAAGAAATTACAGAGGCGCTCTGGTGCAAAAATAGAGTACACAGGCTGTGGAAATATTTAGGTAGGCCAACGCTCAACTGGAAGTGAGGCTTGGAAGAGATATCAAGGGCAACAAGAGCTTCTACCAGTTCATTACTAGTAAAAGGCTGCCCAAGGAAAATGTGGCCTGTTGCTGAACGGGATGGATGATTTAGTGAAAGAGAAGTCTGAGGTGCTCAATGCCTTATTTGCCTGAGTCTTCAGCATGGTTTCTAAAGCCTGTGCCTTTAGTTCGAGGAGGATAACTACCTGTAGTGGATGAGGATTGAGTCAAGGATTCCTTGAGACAACTTGTTACATACAAATTCATAATACCTGATGGGGTACATCTGATGGTAGTGAAAGTCCTTGCAAGGCTGATCAGTATTATCACTGAAAGGTCAAGGAAATTGGGACAGATCACAGACTGCTGGAGAAAGGTGAATGTTGCACCTATGTCCAAAATAGTCAAAAAAAATCCAGAGAACTATAAGCTGGTCAGCTTTTCTTCTTGGAAAACCATGTAGCAAGTCGTTTAGAAACACATTTCTGGCTGCATGAAGGAGAAGGTAATTGAGAACAGTCAATGTGGATTTACAAAAGTTAAACTCTCTCTGACCAACCTGTTTGCCTTCTATGATAAAACAACTAGATTTGTGGACACGGGGAGGAACATAATTTACCTTGACATTGGCAAGGTTTCCACACTGTATCCCACAATACTCCTGTATCAGAGTTGGAACGCTACATGCTGAATGGATGGACAACTAAATAGGTAGAAAACTGGTTAGATAATGGGTCTCTGAGGGTTGTGGTTAATTGGTGGTACTCTACCTTGGTGTCTTTGACAAGTAGAGTACCTCAGGAGTCTGTGCTGCCTAAGAGATGGATGTTACAGATAGTTATCTTTTAGTCTTTCAGAATTGGATTACTATCCTCAACTTCTGTTTCCTTCCCCTTTCACATTTTCACAACACTCACCTCTTTAAAGAGATGACTTTGTTCTTTCATTTAAAATAATTTCCTTTATTTTTTACAGATTTTTTCTCATTTTAAATAGGAGTAGTCTGATCATAATATAAATTTGAGGAAACATGAGACTATATTTCATCTCAGATTTAAAATTTTAAGTTTTGTTTATGTAATTTCATCTCTGTATCTATGTCTGCTTTCTGCCTTTAGCCATGAAAATATATACTTTTGCATATCCACCTACCTGGACCTCCAAGCATACTTAAAATTCACAAGAGGCCTTTTTCTTTTAAACCCTGTTTTGTTGAGAGTTTTCACTAATTTCCTGGAAAGAGTAGC